GGGGGCAATGAATGCGGCCATAGATGGATGGACAAACTGGTACGACAACAGACGATGGATGAACGGTAAAATTTGCTGCGTCGCAGCTGGTCTGGTGTTGTTGGTCTAGCACGAAAAGGGTAAACTGAACTACACACACACACACACACACACACGCACACACACACACACACCTTGAATCACTGTACACAAATATTACATAGAGTGATCGGTAAGGGGGAAGTGAGGAGTTTTCAGTTGTACTGATCCAGTAGAGTGAAAGTGTTCCCGGTGGAATTGAGATGAAACAATCTAACCAAGGGGTGCTTAATTCTTGGTAGACAGACGAACAGACAGACGGGCGGCAATGGATTGGGTGATTTGACTCATCACAACTGTCCTTCTGTCTGTTCAAAAGATTTGCACAAATCTCAACGCCTGTAGTGTATTATTTATTACTGCATGCATAGACAAAGAACCTGGATCGACCGTGTGTAAGTCAGAGGATCACAGTACACACGGGGGACACGTTATTTAGTCAGTCCCATGTGGGAGCAGCAGCACATGAGGGACATGGATGGAACGGAAAGACTGAATAAGGAGAGCGCTCGCTGTGTGTGTGTGTGTGTCTGTTGGACTGAGGGAAGCGGGGGTAGGCGTGTGCTTCTCGATGAAGTTATGATCAACCGAGTTGTGATCCGCTGACTACAAAATCACGCTGTTCTGTCCCACTCCGATGCGTCAATCCGGCATCCATAAGGTAATGAGAGTCGTACAGGCCAGCGCGAGACGTAGATGTGGACGAGGATGTAGATGATGGAGGCGCAGGTTTACAGCGGACAGCTGCAGATACACTCGATGGAGGGGAGGGAGTTTGCATATGCGGATCTGAACCGGCTGAATGCGGTCTTGAGGGGCTTTTCACATGAGATGAGGGGCTATTACTAGATCGACTACTGGTCACGGTGATCGGTAGACGACTGCGACTGGTCTTGTTTATACGGGAACTGGCACCGTTGCTACTGCTACTACCTATGGATTTAGTCCGGTTGGTTACCCAATCAAGTCCGGATACTGGCGGTGGAGGAGGATGGGAAATGCGGCTTGGTGCCCGGACAGGACTGGTATTCATCGGGACCGGTTTGTGATCAGTTCCATCACGCTCTTCTGATTTCATTAGGAGACTGGGTCGGATTAGCTGCGCGGAAGCAAGTCTGTCTGCGTCAAACAGATCCGACATGGCACAATTATAGGCGGATGATGTTTCTTCTTCCTCCTCGCCCTCCTCGTCTTCCTCCTCATCCCCGTTGTCATCTTCGCCACTCTCGTCTTCCTCATCTCCATCGTCGGTGGGCAGTTTTCGGCGAAGCGATTTGCCGGGCTGAAGCGCTGCTGCTGGCGGTGGATCACTGGTCAGTAGAACGGACAAGGCGTCTTTCACCGCATGGAACAGCATGTTCTTCACCTGTAGTTTGTCTTCGTGATTCTGATGTGTGCTGGACAAGCGACGAAATTCCTCAATCAGCTGAAAACACTGTGGGAGATGCTCGGGGGAGACAAAATCCACCGCTGCCTTGATGCAGCTGTTCAAATTTCGGACCTGAATGTGGTTGTATGAAGGAGATAATGACGAGGGGGTGAAGAGAAGAGAAGAAATAGAGCATAAGTAGGAATCAAACTCATCTAATAATATAAAGCTATGTAGTGTGTAACACAGTAACTAGGAGTCATGCACATTTCCACATCAGCGAAT